GTTCCAGTTGCTAATTCACAACACCCTTCAAGCCACTTTACTGTCCATCTCTCTCAATGGGCATTCTACTAAACCTTTCAAAATTGGAAGGGGTCTCAAACAGGGAGACCCCCTATCCCCTCTGCTTTTCATCCTAGCATCTGAAGATTTCATTAGAACTCTCAATTCACACATGAACTCTGGAAAACTTAAACCTTACAGAATGGGTAGGAACCACATGCACATCCATCACCTTGCCTATGCAGATGACCTCATTATCTTTCTAAATGGAGGAAAATAAAAACTGACCAGATTCACAAATTTCCTAAAAAGTTATGAGCAAATCTCTGGACAGATGGTTAACCTTCAGAAGTGGAATTTCTACAACCCCTGTAAGTCCCCCTAAACATCTCCCTAATGCAACAGAACACCCTTAGAATGCATAAAGGAACTCTGCCATTCAAATACTTAGGGGTGTAGATTTATAGGGGGATCAACAAGAAGCATTACTGTACCTCCCTCCTTCAACACTTTGATAACAAGCAAAGTGGTTGGGATAAAAACCTACTCAACCAGAGTGGAAGAGTGATTTTTATCAAACATGTACTTAGCTCCATTCCCATACACACCCTGGGTTCCACACAACTCCCTAAGAGCATCATTAATACCCTACACATGAAGATGTCCAACTTCCTATGGGGGGAAGTACCTAAAATGATCACAAACATCATTGGATGGAATGGGAAAAGGTTTGCTACCCTAAGGAGGAAGGAGGCCTAGGAATCACATCTCTAACTACTTTGCAAGAAGCTTTTGGACTCAAGATTTGGTGGAGATACACACAAAATGAATCCCTATGGATTACATACATGAGACACAGATACCCAAGGGGTCTAAACACTCCCCCTAAAATCATTGACTCCCCCACTTGGAGAAGAATCTATGTCATGAATGATAAGGCCCCACTCACACTGGAGATAACAAATGACAACAGAGTCAAATGGAAAACGGGGGAGATGGATTTCAATATCAAACTTGCCACTAAAAACCCGAAACACCATAACCCTCCTATACTAGCAATGTCCTACATATGGAACCCCTCTCAACTACCCAAGATCTCAACTTTCCTTTGGAAACTTTACCACAGCCTTCTACCGTACCCCCAAACACTAACAACGATGGGATTTAACCATCCATCTATCTGTTTCTTGTGCAGGTCTAGTGACGACTCAACTTGGCATTCACTTCACGAATGCACCTTCAGCAAGGAGATTTATAATCATTTTGAGGAACTATTTGGAATCCACAGAAGTGTTAATCACGGCATACGCAGCTTTCTACTAAATTTGTGGAACCAAATTAACAAAAAAGCAAAAGATTACCACCTTAAAGTTGTGTTACCTAGTTTCATAGCACACGCCATCTGAAAAGAAAGAAACCTTCACATCTACAATGAGGAAACACAGACACCTGCCCAAATAATTCACCAAATTACTCGGCAGATATATGAATACAGTGCAATCAATGGGAAAGGAAGGCAAAGATACCTGTAGCTCTCAATTCCAACCATCAAAATGGGCGCAATCCAAACTTTCAAATGGAATTTCCCAACGCAAGGCCTATGTGTTACCACTGATATTGCAATCTCACAGAATCGAATGGCAGCGGATGCAATGATCAGGCTAAAAACTAGAAAGTTCCTAGCAGCATGGACACAGAATTGGGAGGGAGAAAATGAACCTGAAGCAGGAGAGATTAAGGCAACAGCTCTAGGCGTCAAACGTGCTTACTTCCTAAATCAGTCGATCAACCTTTTCATGGACGCAAAGAATGGGGTGAAGAAAATTCAAGAGGCATCCAACGCATACTACAAAGAATTCAAATATGCAATTCAAAATTATGGAGGAAAAATAAACCACATATATCGGGAAGCAAACTCGGCGGCACACAATCTTGCAAAATTTTCTTTAAACAGTAATGTTAGTGCTTTTTACTCTCATTTCGAGCAACTCCCTAAAAAGTTTAAATGAGCTCTTCTCTGTGATGTAACCTCTACTTACTTCCGTATTAAATAAATGAATAAAGTTTCTCTTTTATATATATATATACATACATACATACATATATATATATATATATATTCATGTATGTAATTACGTATACATATATATTTACTTGAAATATAGATTACTTATAATATGACAATGAATTCTAACAATATATCAAGATTGATGTTCAACAAAGGATTGTGTTACTAGACCACAATGAGCTTGCCTTGAAATCGTAGAAGACAGATGTGATATGAACAAAGAATATGCCACAACAAATGTTTAACGTACAGTCACCTCTACCAACTTCAAGCTTCCAAGGTCTAACCTAATTCTCAACGATACCATTCGGGAGTTCCTAATAATCGCTAGAGAGTTGATGGTAAGTGTTTCTATGAAATGATATGGATATGATGAAGAAACTAGCCAAATCCGAGAGGCTTGTCACCACTGATGCAGTCTCGGTATTTTAGTAATATCTCTTTCATTTCTTAACGGAATCACAAATCATTTGTTGTATTGGATTCGTATAAAACAAGACTACAACTCTAATGAAGAAAGTGTTTCAAAATAATAATGAACGAAAACTATCAGAATATTGTCACAAGTGGTCTGAGATGTTGAAATCAGGATTTTATGAAACTTGGATCGGTTTTCTAGCTTCTTGGATCAAAATATGGAGCTTCAATGAAGAAAGAGTTGTGTTTCCTTGTTATTGTTATTCACGAAAGAAAGGAGAGAGGGAGTGTGAGTGATGGAGGCTAAGGGACTTATTGGCAGTAGAGGTAGAAGGTTTTAGATTACTATATAGAAAAGGGGAATTAATGTTTTGTGGAGTAAATAGTGAGACTATGGTATCTTTAGTGGATTAGGAATGGGATGTGTGATTGCTAAGGAGATTTGGGAAAACAAGGTTTTGGACTTATGTCTAAACTGAGCAGTTTACCCTAGACGATACGCACTTTTTACCCAAATTGCTCCAAATTGAAAATGGATTGCGTTTTTAGAATCACACTGTGAAAACTAGAATTATGACATAATTAAAATATTTTTCTGAAAACTTTTATTTTTTAGCGTATCGGTTTGTCTCAGTTATTAATTAATACAATAACAGCAAAGCCTTATCCCACTAGCTAGGGTCGGCTACATGGATCAAATGATCCCATTGCACCATATTGTGTATTATATCTCCTGTGAGATTGTTCACGCAAAGGTCTCCCTTAATCAATTCTTGCCAAGTCCTCTTCGGTTTACCTTTTCCTCCAACCACATGCATGTTCACCATTTAATCGACCCTTCTCACAGGATGTTCTAGTGGTCTTCTCTCCACATTTTTGCTCATTCAATGAAGCATCTTCATTTCCGCCACACTAACCTCATGTTCATGTTCACCCTTTGTTGCCCAACACTCTGTCCCATACAATATAGTTGGTCTAATAGTAGTACGATAAAATTTTCTCTTTAGTTTAAAGGTATTTTTTGTCACATAAAAAGCCCAAAGCACTCTGCCATTTTGATCAATTGGCTTGAATCTTGTGATTAACATCGTCCTCTATTTCTCCATTGCCTTGAATGATACACCCAAGATATTTAAATCTCTTTACTTGTGTATAGTATTTTCTCTAACTTTCACCTTGATGTTAGTGTCTCTTCTTCTGATGCCAAACTTTCACGCCACACACTCTGTTTTAGTGCGACTTATACGCAAACGATGCAACTCTAAAGCATGTCTCCACGAATACAACTTCTCATTCAAATCCTCTAGTGATTTGCTTATAAGGATGATGTCATCGGCATAAAGCAACCAATACTAGTGTAAAAAAGATGTCGGCTTAACGATGACCCTTGGTGTAATTCTACACAATGGGGAATTCCCCTGTTCTCCTTGTTTGACTTCTCACACTCGTTGTAGCCCCCTCGTATATGTCCTTAATCGAACGAATATAAGCAATCCTTGCTCCGTTTTTTCTCTAGCCCCTTCCACAAAACCTCTCTTGGTACACTGTCATATATCTTTTACAAATAATAAAAGCCATGGGTATATCATTCTTTTCACTTCGGTACCTCTCCATCATCCTTCTCACTAAGTATATAGCCTCTGTAGTCGATCATCTTGGCATAAAACCAAATTGGTTTTCTAACACCGAAGTCTCTTGTCTCAACCACCGTTTAACCACTCTTTCCCATAAGTTTATCGTATGACTCATAAGTTTGATCCCTTTGTAGTTTCCACAACTTTGAATATCTCCCTTATTTTTTTAAATAGGAACCAAAATGTTCTTTCTCCATTCGTTAATCTTCTTAGATCTTAAAATTTTGTTAAAAAACCTAGTTAGCCACCAAATGCCTTTTCCTTCTAAACCTTTCTAAACTTCAATTGGAACATCGTTTGAGCCTAGTGCTCTTCTATTCTTCATTTGTTTTAGGGTTTTATTAACTTCAATTTCTCGAATTCTTCGATAGTAATTGGAGTTATGGTCCTCCTCCCTCGTGTGTAGCCGATTGGAGCATGAGAGATTCACATGCTCCCCATTAAACTGATCATTGAAGTATCTCTTCCACCGGTCATTCACTACAAAAAAGAAGGCAATACCGACATGGGTCAATATGTCGCTAATGGTTAAATATCTGTCGCTATTCGCTTTTACTGACAGATAATTGTCTGTCGCTAAGTTGTCGCTAAAAACTCCGTCAGTAAAAGTATTACCGACAGATAAAATATACTGTCGCTAAAATAGTGTAATTGCGACAGACCAAAGATGTCGCTAAAAAAGAGAGAAGTACCGACAAAACATATATGTCGCTAAAAAATGAATTACCGACAGAACAAAGTGTGGGTATATCCTTCTTTTCTGTCGCTAATACCTTGTTTTTACCAACATTAACATTTAATATAACTGTCGCTAAAAATTAGATTACTGACAAAAAAATGTGTGAGCCAAACATTTTTTTCTGTCGGTAATAGCTTATTTTGACCAACACTTACATTTATTATAACTGTTACTAATACCAACTATTTAAGTGATATTAAATAATTTCATTGACATATAAAAAATAATATTCATACTTGTGTTAACAACAATACATAATACGATAACATTTCAAAGGGTTACAACTAACCCATTTACTAGAATGTAAACCAACATCTCAAAAGTAGTTCATCATTTAAGCTAAAGTATAAACAGTCAAAGTGAACTAAAATAAAATACGCATCAATATGAAAGATATAGTCCAAAGCTTTAATGCTGATCATCACTGTATACATCTTCAAGTTCATCGCTTTCAGCTTCATCATCTTTGTTCCATCGATCCTCATCATGACTTTTCTCAGTGGTCGTATTACCACCAGTTGTAAGGTCATCGATTTCAGATTGATTGGGTTTTGAACCCTATGCAAAAAAAAAGCACATGATAACGTAGTTACATATTTTGCACCAAATTTACCTTATACTCATACTAGGTGGCATAACTTTAAACTATATAATAAACTAAACAAAAAGCAAATGAAATATATGGGTAGTTAACAGTAATGAATAGAGACTAACCAGGCTATTTAAAAGCAATGACACTACATCTTCTAAATTCTGGAGTCTCTCATTTGTTTTTTCATGCTCTTGTTCAATTTTCAATCTTTTTGCTTTCTCCTCCTTCAAGCAACGAAGCACTCTAAAGGACAAAAAAATCAGCATTAGTGCAGATTTCGGAAAAATCAGCAAGTACAAATAAGTTTTTTTTTGGAATATTTAGCTTTTAAATGCTTCAAAATTAGGATACAATTCACACATAAGAAATCCATACATGTTGTACTCATAAAAATATGAACAAATCAACTTTCTGGTATTATGCACATCAAAGTTACACACTTATCAATGCATACGGTAAACATTCAGGAGGCGAAGGATCCAAAAACGTTCATAGCACTGAAAAGGTCTTTGATAGGAGTGTATTTTAACATCAATGAAATACAATTTATATACTCCGTACATTGAAACTTGTTCGTGTTAAACAACCAGGAAGTATAATGAATCAAAAACTGTAAATAAACTACCTGGTGATAATATGTAGGCATCCATGTAAGAATAATAAAATTTCCCCAATTGTGACAGAAGTGAGACACTATCAAAGCCCAATCAGGTGGTTTGGACAAAATTTGTCTCCATGGAATAGATTTTACAGGTTCTTTGGAAACACTGTTGCTAAGACGAAGAAGGTGAGGAAGTGTAGCCGACATACCTGATTAGGGTGTGACGATTGAAGAACACGCTCAGATGAAGGAGACGAAGAGGAGTTCCAAACTTCTGGCTGCGTCGTAGAGGAGTTCCGAACTTCTGAGCTTCCGAGATGACGATGTCCTGTTCTCGATCGATGAGTCTTTGTGGCCGGCGGACGATGTCCTGTTCTCGATCGATGAGTCTCTGTGGCCGGAGATCGATGTCCTGTTCTCGATTGATGAGCCTCTGTGGCCGGCGGTTTTAGGAGATTAGAATTAGGCACTGGTGGCGACTAGGGAGTATATTGAATGTATGTTTATGCAATTAGGTTTTATTATTATTATTATTATTATTATTTCCGTCTACACCTTTACGGAAAGGTCTCGACGAGACACACAGGGGCTCGATCGGTCAAAGACCCATCGGGATCCATCTTCAACCCAAAATCTTGCTTTTTAGATCGTTTATTTTGCACTTTTGTCTTTTTGGGTTTTTCCTACTTATTTATAGTTTTTTACTCTAAATTAAGATATTTAAATTAAATTTTAATATTACTAAAATCAATATCGATAGATAAAACTTTGTTGCTAAACTATAAACAATACAGAAAAATATTTGTTTCTAATACTATAAACAATATCGACAGATATATTTTTTGTTGCTAATACTATTAACAATACTGATAGATAAAGTTTTGTCGCTAAAACTATGAGCAATACCGACAGATAAAATTTTGTTGCTAAAAAGATAACCTATAGCGACAGATATTACCCTTTCTGTAGATCAAATAGTTTTTGCCTTCAAATAATTTTATCTGTCAGTAATATTCACTTTTTAGCGACAAATAAGATTTCTGTCACTAAGGATCTGTCGGTAATGCCCTCTTTTTTTGTAGTGATTTATGCTTTCATCAGAAATCAAAACTTCGTCATTCTTATCTTTAATGCACATAAATTAGTCCAAATCTTGCATCTTTCTTTCTCGATTCTTTGCGATCATCAATTAATATTTAATTTAATTAATTTTGATAGATGTAAATTCGAGGCGTTACAATCAGATTCTAAAGAAACATGCTGGACCTATTCCCTATTCTCCTAGGCCCTACACATACTTCTGAGATCTTAATCTCATTAAATGCAACTAGATTGTTTTTGCTATTACATTGTTGCATAATTCACATTTATCGTGCTAAGAATTTACCCACCAAAATTGAATTTTGAACCAACCCATAAAAGGTTTTTGATAGGGAGTAAAATTGTGCAGATCTAATTTGGTAGGACAATAGTTTTTGCGAACATTTGTGGGACAAAATTAAAGCATCTATCAAAGATACACAACATGGAGTATATTTATCCCGTACACTGTAAAAACAATTGATCCACTAGAAGGATCTCGTAGCCTTTCTTGCAGAGGTTGAGAATGAATGAATGAGTTGAAGTGATGAGGTCTCAGATGAGTTTGTAGTAGCAGTTGTTGCCGGCGAGAAGGATCTCGTAGCCTTTCTTGCAGGGGCACTTGAAGTGGATCACAAGCCCCTCTCCAGCTTTCTCCACCCACACTGATTCCGACCCTTTCTCCTCCTCCTCCTCTGTTCCCTTCTCATTCTCCTGCAATTCATCAATCAATAATAAATCCTTTCTCAGTTCTTTAATTTTAAATGAATGAATGATTTTATGATTGAAGAACCTAACAGACCCAAATATATATATATACATAAAATTAATGTACCCTTGGGTTTGGGGTCTCTTCCTTTTCATCTTCAACCACTTCTTGCATTAGTTGATCGCACCATTGTCTCATTTTCCGCATCCCCGCTTTCATCTTTGCCTGTAGCCTCTGAGATTTGAACGGAAAACAATCGATTCCTTAAGCATCGCTTTTTTTAATTTTCCAAGAACATGTATGTATTAAAACAAAATCAAATTAAAGATTCTACCTTTGTGCTGGGACTCTCTTCGGCGGAGCTCGGGGGAGACGTCTTGATGGTTTGTGGCCACACCGGGCGTTTGGGTGGTGTGGCCGCCGTCGCCGCCGCCACTTGCGGTGCTTGGAAATCTGTGGCGGCAAAGGGATCGGAGATTGATCTGCAGAGGGGGTGGAGTGGCGGCAGGAAGTCTGAATTCATCGGCGGAGAAGGAGTTTTGAATGAGGGGCCGGTGGTCTGGGAAATTCCCGGCGATGGGCTCAAGAATCCGCCGGAAGCAGAGACGGGACCGAAATCCTCCGTCTTGGAATTCTCGGCTGATCGGGCGTTCAGCAGACCCGTAGTATCAATGGGTTCGGAGAAGCTCCGGTAGAGAAAAGATGGCTGCGGTTTGGTGGCGCCGGCGCCGTTCGCCGGCGGGGAGAAGGAAGATGAAGGCGGGAGCAGAGTGGGTCGCTTCGGGGAAGGCTCCGGAAGAGACGAGACGAAAGTGGGAGATGGCCTTTTCGCGGAGGCGGCGCTGGAAGTGCCATTCTCAGCCGTTATGGCGGCGGGACGGCGTTTCGCGGCGGAGTTGAGGTGGAGCAGAGACAGGTAGTCGATGGCGCCGGAGTCAATAAACCTGCTGCTGCCATCTTCTTCTTGCGATTCTTCTTTCCTTTCTTGAAATTCTTGATAGCAAAGCATCTTTTCGGCGTTTCCTTTATGCCAGAGCTGATTGATTGAAACTATTCAGAATTGCAGATTCCTAAAAAAAGACGACGGAACTTGGTTATAAATACTCGGGGTAATTAGATAAATTCCATTCCGCGACAGTTTGTTTTTTCATTTTCAGTTGTACGTTATCCAATCAGGCGACGAGTAGCATTACGATTTTGGCAGAAATCTTTGGCGGCAGTGTTTTGCTCAGGTCCCTTTTTAACAATTTTGTGGAGCATCGTATACCCCTTTGATTATAATAGTAAAATATTAAAATAAAATTTATATAGTAATAAATTACATGAAAAATGTTATAAAACTAAAGGTAATAAGAATATATTATTTTATAAATGACTAGTAAAATAAGCAAACAAAGTGAGTGAAGTTTGACCATTAAATAATGTTCGAGAAGATCTATGGTGGACAGAGGGAGTATTATATTTATACATTAAAGGTATGCACCAACATTTTGGTGGTTCAAACTGACACAAAGTATTGGTGCTTTAACAAAAATTTACACTGACACAAAATGTTGGTACATTAACAAAAATTAGCATTACACTAATACAAAATGTTAGTGCATCCCTGCGGTGTACAAAATGGGATACAAATTCTTAGGGTAGAAATAACTTTATCCCATTTTTTTCTTTCCCATTATTTATTTTTACAACGTTTATATTTAGTTTTACTATGTGTTATCTTTTTTAAATTAATATCAACCACACAAATTTAATTTTAAAATTTTCGTGCTACAAGTGGAAGCCCCTACTGATCTGGAGAGGAGCAGAAGCTACTCAACTGATAAGGAAATGAGCAGAAGCCACTCAACAGAGACAGAGATTAAAATAATCCGTATATTTTCTTTTTATTTCAAAAGTTCTATCTTATAATTCGATTACTATAATAGGATAGATAGTAATTTTTTAGTTAGTAATTAAAATAATCCGTACATTTTCTTTTTATCACAAATGTTTTATCTTGTAATCCGGTTACTATAATAGGGGTAGATAGTAAATTTTTAATAAATCATAAAATTTACGTGACTAGAAAATGATAACCATCTAGTCATTTCACCCTTATTTTCTAATATATTTATCCTCCTAATCTAATAGAGCATAGCTCACCTTTCTAAAGGCGTCAAAACGATCTTAAAAGTTTTAATAATTTTCTGAAATAGTCTTTTCTAATGGAATGTTTTCTCATATTGGTCATTAAATATGAAAAAGTAATTGTTAACTTTATAGGATGAGATTATGATAAATAAAACTATAAGCATAATTTTTTAAATTTAAAAATAAACATTTTAGATTGTTTATAATTATTTAGAAGAATATAATATAAATAAAATTTTTATTAAATAATGTTATTTATTTGCTCTTCCAGTTTTGAAATAAGGCTCTTGTTTTGATTTATGATGTCTGAAGTTATTTTCAAAAAATCATTACTAAAAATTGGTCAAGAATTCAAAAAATACTATATATTAAAAATATACGCAAGAAATTTTACAACACAAGTGTTGACAAGACTATTTTTTGAAATGATCAACAAAAATTTATTAAGGAAATAGATTTAGTTTGACCCTCTGAATTGTAAACAAAATCTTTATTTGGAAATGAATGAGGTATTATTTAGCTTTGATAATTTAATAATTACCAAACTCAATTTTATGCAAATATAAAAGTTATACTTTATTTTTGCGAAAATTATTATTTCAGAAACCGAATCTCTTTTCATAATTTTTCTTTCGTTATAAAATAAGACTCATGTTAACAAAAAATTCTAGACCAATTTGCATTTATATTTATTTGAAAATAACTTTAACCAAATATTATAAACTGAGGTAGGAGTCTTACTTCAAAACGGATGGAAACGTTTCTAATTATTTTGTTTACATGATAGTCTTCTAAATAATTTTAAATAATCCGAGACATTTACTTTAAAATTAATTAAATTATATTTATAGTTTTATTTATTATTTTCTCATCCTATAAAATATATATAATTATTTTTTTATATTAAATAAGGTTTTATTTCAAAAATGGACTAATTTGGAAAAACATTCAATAAGAAAGAAAATAGAAACTACCTTTGACGGATGATTTTCATTTCATTAATAAGGTAGATCTTTTGATTTAGTTTTTAAATATATAATTTTTATTTCTTAATTCTACGCCGCTTTTCATATAAATTGAATTGAAAATAACTTCAGTCAAACATTGTAAATTGAAAAAAATGACTTAGATTGGAACGGAAGGAGTACTTAGTAATAGATACTTCATCCGTCCCAATTTAAATTCTCTCTTGTTTACAATATTTGACAAAAATTATTTCCAGCGCAATTTATTCAAAAATTGATGTGAAATTATAAAATTAGATTTACATATTTAAAAACTACATCAAAAGATCTACAAAACAAGAGGTGATAAAAATATATTATTTTATCAAATTGGTAAAAAATGGTTAAAACTTGACACTATAAATAGTAATCATGCAACTTAAATTGAAACAGAAAAAATATTTTACAATCCCTACTTTGACTGGGTATACTTTTTGAGAAAGTGAAACTATATGGTTGATTTTTTTAGTGGTTTAGTCAATACGGAGTATTTAAGTAGAGTATAAACAAATACTCCCTTCGCCCCAAATTACATTATATGTTTACTATTCACAGAGTCAAATTATGTTCGCTTTCTTTTTTATTTTCATTAGTCATTTGATAAAATAACAAAGTCACATACTACTAGTTTTGCAGATCTTTTTATGTAGTTTTTAATTATGTAATTTTTATTTTTAAATTTTAATATGATTTGAAAATAAATTCAGTTAAACATTGTAAACAAATAATTTAAATAAGGACGGAGAGAGTAATACCAATAACATATTGTTTTCCATAAAAGGAAACGGAAAAATAATTTGGGAGGGATAAAAAGGAATACAAACAATATGAAATGGGGTAGAAGTAGCAGCAAACAATTTAAAGCACAAACAAGAAGAAATCCTGAAATCATGTTCACGCAATATCAGTCAATTCAGAATGAGTAGGGGGAAGATTCAAAATACATCGTGTCTTAAATAAACCATCAAGAAGTGGAGAAAAAATTGTTACCCCATATTAAACGTTCTGCTCTGAGTGATTCCTTGCAGTCCTAAACTGAGCAAGCAGGTCTGCTTTTGTTTCTACCGTTGCGAGCTATGTATGATGAAGTTACAAACATATATTAGAACAATAATCTTTGACGTTGCACTCGATGCCTATTTCCTAGACAAAGCCACCTTAATTCCCAAATCACGGCGTGAGGTCGAAATGTGTGCCTAGCACAGTTCGAACTTCCAGAAGAGAAGAAACCTTGTGATCTGGTTGGAACTCAACACTTGCGTATTCTGGAGAATCGTACATCCCTGTTTCATCAAGCAAGCAGGTAAACGCTCCAGCTCGTTTCCCACATGCAACCTACAAGAACAAATCCATCACATGTAATCAACAGACTTTTTTGCTGTTGGTTTTTAGGTGGTATAATTTGCAAGGCCACAAATGTTTTTTACCAGTATTTTAGTAATCCTTTTAAACACATAGTCAATTTGGTAATGATCCGTAGCTTAATAATACTATTTCATTGCAACAGATGATCTATAAAAATTAACCTAGACAACTCTGATGTTCAAGCAGGCAATGTATAACAAGCAATCAAACCAGAAGACATCTACTGTGGTAATAATTGCTATTTATGTTGCCAATGAATTCATTCATGTTAAACAAGCATAAAAACGGCCTGCAATGAGGAGAAGAAAAGAACTCACGTCATCTTTAAGGCTATCTCCTATCATCATGACTTCATTTGGCTGCATACCCCAAGTCTTACAGATATGCAGCAATGGGGCTGGATCTGGTTTACAGGGACGAAATTCCCTACTCAGTGCAGGAGCAAATGTCATCTGCAAATGATGCAAAATCTCAGAAATGAATTTAAAAAGTTACTCCCTCCGTCCAGATAAAATTGTCCACTTTCTTTATGTTTGTCCAGAATTAGTTGTCTACTTTCCATATTTAATATAGAAATTATGATGAATATCTAAAATATCCTAGAGATGGGGTATAACCATTGTTGACATGAATGAGTGGCATCTTCATTTGAATGACTTATTTGACATTTTAAACCCTTTTTAAAAATTGAGTTTTTAAAAAGTGGACAGCTAGATCCGGACAGATGGAGAATTAAACAGTACATTTGCCAGCTACTATAGTCAGGGAGTATATAGACATATGAATTGAATAACAAATCTGAACCAAACATCAAATTCAAATGTATGTTTGCATCCCCTTTTGCAGTTCTTGACTATTATAGCAGCAATGAGATCGGCATCCCGCATCTCACCAAAATTATGACGCTTGCTTCTTTCTTGCTTATGCACTTTAGAATGTGGTGATTATGTGCTTCCCGCTTATCAGGGGATCGTTCCCTCAATGCAAACAATGTGATATCATCCCCATTCCCCAATGTTTGAAAAGACGTACTGAGTATATGAGTCGTTTCCCCATCAAGGCGTAAGGCACATTTTTGAAGTTTCAAAACATCCATTATACATTATTAAGACTAAAGGTAGAACATTACTAATAACATAATCACTCCATAAACATTAAAGTATATTGTCATATTATAAGGTCTCAAAAAAACAAAGTCTAGCATAAGATAATAGAAAATATTGCCCGAAGGCGATCAATTTAGATTGTCGAATGCAGTAAAAAAAGGTCATCAATTTCTAAAGGCTTAAAATTAGGATTAAAAAAAGGTGCATTTCCTCCATCCTCTTCATAGGAATCGATGAAAAAAATCTCTCTTATAGGATCCGAAGAAGTAATATGATCATTTGCATCATCATCATCTTTATAAATTTGATCAATCAATGTAGTTGTGACTTTCCTTTGGTGAGCTGTCGTCTTTGCGAAGCGTGTCCTCACACACTCCTTGGCCTCTTTGATTTTCAAAAGTTTCACCAGCAACATTGATATACCCCAAGATGACTCTACTCCACCATTCCTCACACCCCTTCTATTCTCTCACCTTTGAGAACGAGATGAAGATCATGAAGAGGACCTGCATAGTCCTTTCTCTCATCATGGTAAGGCTACTTCTAGCATGAATATTAGAGAAAGCATGTATGCAAACCCCATGGCAGACTTGAAAGTGCACATTCCTACTTTCGAAGGAAAGGTTGATCCTGATGAATTTCTAGAGTGGCTAGAACTTATAAAACAAGTCAAATAACATGTGCTTGGGTTTAAATCACTCATCCTAAAACATCCAAGGCCCAAAACCCTCCATTGGCCGAAACTACCTAACCCAAAAACCATTCACACTCAAAAGTCTTCATTTCCTCAGCATAATAAAGAAAGTAAAGTCCTCTAATTACCCTATCATTTGACCGGAAATATTTTCCAAAATAAAAAAGAAATCCTCCCAAAACATCTTATTTTGACTTTTGTGTACCAATGGTTTCTTGTTTCAGCATAATTTTCTTATCGTTGAACAATAATCAACCAATCAAAATTCAAAACACACATGATCCTAGTCAACTCCACATGGCCAAATTCAAAAATCAAGGTAAATGAAGGTCAAATTTACACCATCAAGGAGACACATGCTTAAAAATATTCCTCCTTAAACTATTGAAATGTGTCTCCCCATGTTACCATGTATATGATTGTCATGTTTAGCCCATGATAGTCTTTACTTTTCCATGATATTTTCTTCCTTAATGATTAGTTTGCAATACCCCTCCATTGCCTGTATAATTTTGACCATAGCTCATTGTAAAACACACTTGATGGTTTTACTACTGTATCATACTCTTGTGAATTAATATTGAATAAAGTGTGATACTCCTTCCATCCCATATCTTTCTTCTCAGTTTCCTTTTTGGGACGTCCCACTTGTTTCTTCCCATTTCCTAATTTGGAAAATAAATTATATTAAAAAGACTAATTTACCCTCTACTTTCTTTCTTTCTTCCTTTCCTCTCTCCCCACCCACCCATTTCTTCTTCCCCAATTTCTTTTTTCTTCTTGTTCTTCCTCAGCCACCCCCTTGGTCCCCTCTTTCTTCTTCCCCCTTTCATCTATACGACAGCCATTTGCTTCCTCAAGAGTCAAGTAACTCATTTTCTTTCTCACCCATACCATCCCACCTCTGTACATTTTTTTCCTTTAATGTGCGACTTTAAGGGCGAGTAGAAAGGTGTTCCAGGCGGCTGCAAGTCCAATCAGAGACAGATCTGGGCAGAGACGAGAGTGTACTTGAGACAGATCTTCTCTTCATCTCTTCGATTTCTTCTTCTCTTCATCTCTTTGACTTTGTTTTCAATTTTGTTTTGTATTTTGTTTTTGAGACAATCTGTTCATCGCCTCCTTTTTTCGCATCTAGATTGCGAGAGAGGACAATGCTATGGTATGTTTGAGACAGATCTTTTCATCTCTTCAATTTCTTTTTCAATTTATTTTTGTATATTGATTTTGAGATAGATCTATTCATTGCTTCCTCTTGTTCGCGTCTAGTTATCGGAGAGGGCAAAGATAAGGGTGGGTTTGAGACTGGAAAGACCAAAAGACAAATAGGATGATTGGACGCAGGGAAAAAAAATTCAAGGGGCTTACCGTAAAGTCAAAACAATTTTAACATTATATTAAAACCCATGCCACGTCAGACTGAGAAGTTTCAACTTGGACGGAGGGAGTAGTTGTTTAAATTGTTTCCAAATTTATCTCTTCAGTTGGCTACTTAAGAAGTTAAGAGTGTCTTAGGAGTCTAAACTTACACATTAATAGTGAATAATTTCGTGGGACTATAGATAACTAGTCCTAAGGTGAGATAAGAGTGTGTTATATCTCTTAACATAACGGGAGAACTATCCCTTTTCCCTTTCTCCTCCATTCGGCCTAATCCCTTATATTCTCTCACCTTGGATAACTCGCTCATATATCCGTCCAAGTAATATGCTAATATATAACATTAGTATCAAAGCTCACTTGTTCTATATCCCAAAGGGACCACAGGCCTAAGCACTTCTAAAACCTAAAAACATGTATATCTTCACTGATATCTTTTTCTTACATTTCTTTTTAACCTATTAGGCCACACATTTAAAACAATCCCAACCCCTCTTCCAAAACAATATTGTTCTACTCCTAATTCCCTTTCACTACCTAGGTAAATCACACCATGTCTCACAAGCTATCCAAGATGAATGAAGATGATCTTGTTGCTAACTAAGACGTGACAATGAGTTCTTGAGGAAACAAGTTGCAGAGCTCAAGGCTCTGTTCACTTTGCCTAATCAAATTCTTCGAATCTAAATTTTTAAGGTCTCATCTGATCGAGTATGTTGATCGAATTGTAGTGTAATTTAAAGTTGTTGATCGGATCAGATTCCAATAAAAAAAGTAAACACTAGAAAAAATAAGCTGAAGAGAACAGAGACTACGTATAAGATGAGTATGTTGAAGGATGCTAGTAAACTCAAAGGTGAAAGAGATGAAGATCATGAAGAGAAGAACATGCATACTCCTTTCTCTTATCATGGTAAGGCTACTTCTAGCATGAATACTAGAGGAAGCATGTATGAAAACCCCATGGAAGACTTCAAATTGCACATTCCTACTTTTGAAGGAATGGTTGATCCTGATGAATTTCTAGAGTGGCTAGAAACTGTAGAACAAGTCTTTGATTTCAATGACATCATGAAGGAAAAGAAAGTGAAGACCGTAGCACTAAAATTCAGAAAGTCTGCCTCTACTTGGTGGTCTAACATCACCACTAAGAGAAGACATCAAGGGAAAAAAGGGGTGAATTCATGGAAAACGATGTGTAGCATCTTGAGGGAGAAGTTTCTACCCTCTCACTACTGGCAAGGAAACTTTGCCAAATGCATAGTTTAAGGCAAGGTAATACGACGGTGGAGGAAAATATATGGAGTTTGAGCAACTACTACTCCAATGTGATCTTAAAGAAGATGATGCCCAAACCTTTGTAGGATACCTTCATGGTCAAAATGATCAAATTGCTGATTTTGAGCTGCAAATTTATGATAACTTAGAAGACCTATCAAAAAATAGCCCATAAAGTTGAATCTCAACTCAAAAAGAGCAAATCCACTTTCAACCGAACTACCTCTTCCAATACTAAATCATCCTTCACCCACTCAAAAAAAAACCTCCACTCCCACCAAAACCAGCACCAAATCAACACACCCCTCCTCTACTTCTAATACCCAAAGCTTACCCAAATCTGCCCAAACAAACTTTAAAACACCATGTGGCTACAGATGCCAAGGATTAGGACATTATTCTTTTGATTGTCCTAATAAGAAAGTAGTGCCATTAGTTGATGTCAATGAAGAAACCAAACCAGAAATGGAAGAAGAAATCAGTGACAGAGTTGAATACCTAGGCCTGGATGAAGGTGAACTACTAGTCATTCGAAGGACTTTGAGTAGGAAGGCAAGCAAAGAAAATCAACTTCGGCGAATTGGTGAGAAAACATTTTCATACTCATTGTATTCTTAAGGGCAAAGTATGTTCTCTAGTTGTACACCGAGGAGGTTGCACCAATGTTGCTTCCAAAACCATGGCGGATAAGCTCAATCTAGAACTTTCATCTTGTTCACATCCTTACACTATCCAATGGCTAAATCACGGTAGAAGTAAACTCAATAAATGCTTTAAGAAGTAGAAGAATACTTCAATTGCAGAAAACAGGAATGTTAACAATGAACATCTTGAGGCAATCCACAAGAAAGAATAAGATGACATACTTGATCCATTGCAGTAATTCTAAGATAACACACTTGATCCCCTTCTCTCTCAAACAAGTTCCACTTTTTAATACTAAAACATAATCTAAAANTCTAGAACTTTCATCTTGTTCACATCCTTACACTATCCAATGGCTAAATCACGGTAGAAGTAAACTCAATAAATGCTTTAAGAAGTAGAAGAATACTTCAATTGCAGAAAACAGGAATGTTAACAATGAACATCTTGAGGCAATCCACAAGAAAGAATAAGATGACATACTTGATCCATTGCAGTAATTCTAAGATAACACACTTGATCCCCTTCTCTCTCAAACAAGTTCCACTTTTTAATACTAAAACATAATCTAAAACCCTTGATGCATTCACTACCCAAAACTTCATGGAAAGTAACAAGGGAGGTTTGATTTGTGATTTTTATTTAGTTTGGGAAATGAAAGATAAATCAAAATTCATATATAAAGTCAATCAAATAAAATTGAGAATCAACTAATGATAACTTGAAATATTAACCTTGATTTTTTATTTTCTTTGTTGATTTATTCAATCTTCGTTAGCTCTAGTTTATTCTTTGCCTCTGTGTGCTTTATATGTGCTTTCTCAGCTTTATGTACCCCCTGTGATTGTCTTATTTGTGCATCTTGAGCCGAGGGTCTCTTGGAAATAGCCTCTCTACTTTTGAGTAGGGGCAAGGTCTTCATACACACACCCTCCCAAGACCCTACTCTGGTGGGATCCAACTGGGTTGTTGTTGATTTGCTCAATCTTGTTATTACTCTTCTGTAAGTTCTATTTTCACATGTCAACATCTTACTTATTTTTGCAAGCCCAGTGCAAATAAATACGGAGTAAATAAATTCATATCTTTTCTTTGTGCAAGGAATGAAGTTAGCACAAATTTCAGAAACTTGAGATAAGGTAATCATAAAATCATGGATGATGCATGTATACCAAGGTCAAACATAGACTTTTATGTAGAGTACCAAGTAGGAGACCAAGATATTTCAATTCCTACGGTGAGTATGACATTTAACTTTCCAACTTTCCAAGAGATGAAAAAGGATAAATCTTCCCCTCGCCCACAACTTCCATGACAAAAGTGCGGCGGGTGATAGATAATTTGACTTCCCGTTTGAGCGAATAACATACGTTGGGGGCATTTTTCATTGCTTTTCACTTGAAAATAAGACCTATATAATCTAAAAGGGTCGTGAGAAAGGAAACGCACTTGAGAAAGTGTCCTTAGCTCTTAGCTACTGTGATGTGCAAACGAATTCCCGGAGATGCACTTCACACAAAAACTGATTCTACAACTAATTTCTTTATTAAACGAGAATATGCAGAAGCTTGAGACTGAATCTTTTCATAAACAGCATTCTGCATTGAGCTCTTAAGTACCAGGGAACCATACAAGCAATAAAAAATACCCCACTATCAAGTATGTGCACTGAATCTGGAATACACACCTCTGCGGCGGCAAAATCAAGTCAACTGATCCACTTTGTGGATGATATTGAGAATTCACCTATGGGGAATGGGGGAGAGGCCTATGTTGGGGAAGAAGGAAAGAGAATTGTAACCGGGTCAACACACTTGAGAATTGTAATTTTACATGTTAAGATCAGTTTTACAAGTCAAGTACTAGCTTCATAAGGAAAGGAAACTTACCCCAAAGCGTTGATGAAACAAATCAACGGCAGCTTTAACATTTCGAGTAATTAATCCCCTTCTGAAAGAAAGAAAAACTTGTAATGTAAACCATCAATTTCATGGAAGCAGAACAATAGAAATGGAACCTCTCTTTTTCAATTGCAGAACATAAATTGAAATTACACGGAACGGAAAAGGAAGATATTGACCCTACACTCATACACATTATTTTGTTCTTTATGTAGTTATATGACAGCAAATGTTATAACCCATTGATAAAGAGTAGATTAGCAACAACAACAACAACAACCCAGTTAAATCCCACAAGAGTAGGGTCTGGGGAGGGTGTGTGTACGCAGACCTTGCCCCTACTCGAAAGTAGAGAGGCTGTGTCCAAAGAGACCCCCAGCTCAACGTCGAAAGTTGCATTGCTTGACTAACTGCTACTTCATTAATTAAAGAAGCGCAGACAGTTTAGAGATCCATTTTGATTTATTCCATCACACTCCAAAGCCAAAAAATGGTGAAATTTTGGCTCCATCGGAGATGATGGAAATGATAAAGATTACATTAGCAAATTACTAAAATTCAATAATATTCTCAACACCTCCCTTACGGGTTGTATTACTGTATGTACAATATGGCAATCAATCCAATCATTACAAAGTTTAGGAGCATTGATCATTCATGCTTCTCCAATTAGATAACAAAAATCTAATTGATGCTCTTGAAAAGAACGGGATTCATCGACGGCCAGTAAAACCGTTAAACTCTCCCAATAACATTGTAATTCCACAAGAAAGAATCACAGGCATGCATCTTTTCATTAAAAAAATATCCGGCGCCAGAAGTGATAGAAAAATCCAAGCAACTTCTAGCAGTGTTAAATAGTCAATACTACAGAGGGAATTAAAGATTTATTATGAAATTCATACTAAACAAATTATGACAATTCGATTTCTTAGTTGTATGTCACACTTCATGGTAAATCACCAAAGTTAGATTTGAATGGCAAACAAGTCACAGGACCGAAGTAGAGTTAAATAATAGATAGCTCAAGCTGAAAGCTTTGCCTGATATTCCTTGATTCGAGAAAACTACAAAGCTCTGATGCACCTGCACAAAGAGTACCCATACACAGAATGTGTGTTACGTACATACACAAAAACGTATGCACAGCGTTACTATATATAGATTAGAACCTAGAAAGATAGTTTTGGGGCAAACTGGGCAAACCCGGCATGATTTGTAGACGATCCAGGCCTTGCTTCTCAAAATCAGCAATAATCTCGTATGCGCGCCGCTTTCTGTCAGGATTCCAGCTCTCAATGTGGTGGAGAATGTCGACGCCGGAAGGGTTCTTCGACTTGATGTCACTGTATTCTTCCTCGCCCAGAACGGCCTTGTACATTGCCGGGAAGTTGATGACGGGAACGGTAAGGGTTCCGTCCATGTCGAACACAATGCCTCGCAGACGAATCGACTTAGGAGCGGCGGCAGAGAATGCGCCGGAGAAGAAGGTAGAAGTAGCCATTGATGAAAAAATTCAGATATGCTTGGACAAGAAGGTTTGGAGTTGGTAAGTAGTCTCGCACAAATATAAGAGTTAACTTGAAAAACGTGGTACTCATTTTGAAATAATGCAATACTCATTCAGAAATAACGTCGTATTCATTTTTACAAATTTGTTCAATATTCATTTACGAATAATATAATATTCATTCTAAAACACAGTAGTACTCATTCTCATATACTTAGTACTCAATCTTGAACAACCTAAACTTAACCCTTTAATATTAAACAACCTACCTTCCTTAGTAACAAACACTAAGCCTCATTCCCATCAGGATCTTGCGGCGGAAGACCATCGCGAACGGAAGCAGAATTGATAGGGAAATCATTTACCTCCATCTTCACCTTCATCCCACCTCCTCCAGGCAGCCGCCACGACATCGATTGACGATCGCGGCCTCCTCCACGCACAGCCTCCAACTTCTATTGCCTCTGCATCCTCGCACTAGGGCTGGTACCTTCTTCCGCGCCTCCCTTCCGTCATATAATTGCCGGTTGTACCGAAAAAACGGTACAGCCGGATGTACCTAATAATTTGTGGAAGGTTTGGGAAGTAGGACTGCCATTATTTGTAGCTGGCTAGCCGGCTGGAATAAGTTAGAAGGATTGTAATTATATGCCAAATTATATTATAGAAAATGCATTGGGTTGCCTTCTTTCATTGGGCGCAATAAAACAACTGTTTTTTCATATATTTTGGATAAGATCCGTCAAAGACTTTCACTATGGAAGAGGAAGACGCTTTCTAAGGCAGGTAAGGAGGTTTTACTCAAGACGATTGCACAGTCGATGCCCCAGTTTGCCATGAGTGTTTTCCTTCTCCCCCAATCTACTTGCACTGATATTGAGAGGTTAATGAACGGCTTTTGGTGGGACGGTAAGGGAACTAACAATCGTGGCATTTGTTGGATGTCGTGGGAACGAATGACTATCCCAAAAAAGTTTGGGGGATTGGGCTTTCGGAATATTCGAATGTTCAATGTTGCTATGTTGGGTAAACAAGGCTGGCGCTTTCTGACCAAACCCAGCTCGCTAGTGGCGAGAGTTTTCAAGGCCCGATACTTTCCCAACAACTCGTTTTTGGAGGCCGAATTGGGGAGACAGCCCAGCTACTGTTGGAAAAGTATTCTTTCAGCCCAAGAAATTCTTCGAAGCGATATTCGACGTCGTATTGGCGATGGACGAGAAACACATCTTTGGGGTACTCCCTGGCTCCTTGAAGAAGTTAATCCTTACCCAAGCATGCCCAGACGCGTGGAGAATGAAGACCCCTTAGTGGCTGATTTTATTGACTTTGATTTAAATTCTTGGAATGTAGCAAAGCTGGAACAATACTTTGACGCTGGTGAAGTGCTGCAAATTCGCAGGGTTCCTGTCAATACTAGAAGTTCCGATGGATGGTTCTGGATTAGGGACTTCCGTGGGGCTTGTACGGTGAAAAGTGCTTACAGATGTTTGATGGGAGATGCTTCTGTCGTGTCCTCTTTTTCAAACTAGGGAAGATTTTGGCGGATTCCGGTGGCCCCGAAAGTTCTCGTTTGCTTGTGGAGGGCCATTCGAGGTATCTTGCCCACGCGGGATGCTCTCATTTCTAAGAGAGTGGAGGTGGATGGGGGCTGCCCTCTCTATGGAGGAGCTCTCAAAACAGTATATCATATTTTTTTGTTTTGTCCTTTTGCAGATTCGGTTTGGAGGCTCATGGGCAAAGGAGGTAATAGAATCTCTTTTATCTCTTTCCAAAACTGGTTCCAAGTTCGGTGTCAGAATGACACTTTATTGGAGCTGCGTACCGTCGCTTTGACTTGCTGGGCAATTTGGAAAGCACGTAACATTGCCATTTGGGATAATAAGACACTGCATCCAGGAGAGCTCAAGAATATGATGTTGTCCATGGAAGCCCAATGGTCAAACAAGACTGTTGCAGAGCGGGAGCGTACTCCACAGCAGCACGAGGTAAGTTTGCGGGCAGAGGCATACAAGTGTTTTTTTGATGCTGCGACATCAATTTCGGAGGAGTCCATCTCCTTCGACTGTGTCCTTTTTGATCCAGGAGGTGCCTTTGTGGTAGCGGCAAATGGAGGAAAACTTGGGCCTCTAGATCCTCTTTTGGCGGAAGCTCTCGCTTGCACGGAAACATTATCTTGGTTTCGGAATCGAGGTATTCGTGACGTTGAAATTCTTTCTGATTGTGAGGTTTTAGTGGGGGCTATCAAGAAAGGAAGGGCCTTTGAGTGCTACTCTTATCTAGGTCCCATCCTTGATGATTGTGTTGAATTATTATCTTCGTTTACATCTATTGGCTTTCATTTTATTCGTAGGAATCATAATTGTATTGCTCATACTCTTGCACGGTGTGCTACGCCCCATTTTGTCTCATGGAGCTGTACACCACCCAGTTGTATTACACATCTAATTTCTTCTGAATGAAGTTTTGTTTTTTCTGTCAAAAAAAATATTATAGAAAATGCTAGTGGTACACCAAAAGTGTATCTGGTGTACTCCAAACATCTTCACCCCCCCATCACCACAAAAAAGGCAAGAAAAATTCAAAAAGAAATATAAAAAAAATAAAATGAATGGTAAAGAGGGGTGGTGTACATTTGGGTACACCAAAGGTGTACCCCTAGCATATCCCTTATATTATACATCGGGTTGTACCCAATTTGGATACAACCCAAAAATTATTTATGGTATGAATTTTATTTTACATGAGAATAAACACTAAGTTATTTGAGAATGAATACTGTTTTGTTTCAAAATAAACACTACATTATTTGTAGATGAATATTATGATTATAGCGAACCAATGTGTGAAAATGAGTACTGCATTATGTTAGAATGAGTACTACGCTAATTATATTTGTGTGAGAATTAGTACTACTCTACTTCAGAATGAGTACTACCCCGGATTTACCTATCTCTAGCTACATCTGGTTGTACCATATACCTTCACGTAATTATAGAGTTATTGTTATAAAATAGAGGAAAACTACGGGTAAATTTCACGTATGGTACACCAACTTTGACGTTTATTTCACTTCGGTATACCAACTTTGTTTTCTTTCAGAAAAGTACTCCAACTTACCACTTTCTTTCACAGATGGTATCTTAGCTAGTTTCTAGGTTAAAAGCCGGTTACTTATCCTACGTGTATGCCTACTTGGCGCACCCATTTAAATCACTCCCTTCTTCTCTCTCCTCTCTCCTCTGACGCAGCATCATCCCTGTTGAAAATTAAAGAATGGCGAAAAATAACTGTTGGTGTACCAGGGACTCTGATCTTCTACATATATAGTCCTCTTTATTCCATCCTCTTGTCCCAATTAGAAATCCTAATTTTGAGAGAAATTTTTCGAATTTGATGTCTACCATCTCTAGCAACAGCTCCTTCCGTCGCACATCAGTGTACTACTGCAAATGCCGTGAACCTGTAGTGTGGAAGACCTCATGGACTGATTCAAATCCTGGAAGGCGATTCGTTGGGTGTCCTAATTATGGGATAAGTGTACTCAAATTTCTGGTTTTTGAAATGGATGTTCTTTGCGATTGGGATTTTGGTTGAAAAGGGTTTTTTGTTTTGGTAGACTCCCAAATTTTGTGAGTTCATGGAATGGAGAGATCCGAAAGTTCATCCACGATATTGGGATGTCATTCTTGGCTTACTGAGGAAGGCTGAGAATATAAAAGAAGAGAAGCTAAAGGAGAAGAGTTTATGTGGACGTCACACCTCTTGGATTTGTCTATTCTTGGTAGTGTTGATAGCTTTTTTTATTGTTTTGCAATTGTAAGGGTTGTGTATGCCAAGAGTGTTATAATAGTGGCCAGTGATTTATTTAGCCTGGTGAAATGTTGTTGTGTAGTGGATTCATTGTAGAATGTTGTTGACTCATAATGTAATTCAAGAGTGATTATTGTAGAATGAATGTAGACTGATTTGTGTTGAAGACTGGTTTTTAAATTGCAGCAAGTTCTGTCATGTTGTTTTATTTTAAAGGGTAAATTTCAAGCATGGTACACTAACTTTGGGGTAAATTGCACGCATGGTACACCAACTTTGGGATAAAATTCACGTATGGTATATCCAGTATATCACGTATGGTACGCCAACTTGTTGATAAATTTCACGTATGGTACACCAACTTTGACATTTATTTCACTTCGGTATACCAACTTTGTTTTCTAACAGAAATATCTTCAATGAAATAAGATATACGCAGAAGAGTTCTGAATTAGATTGTACAAAATGCTTCATTTCACATATTGGAAGCTAACAAGTTTGTCAATCAAACAAAAAGCCTGATTTTGCTTTCTAAATTCTTGATTTTGCTTTCTAAGTATGGTAAAAGAAATCACACACTAACACTAAATTCTTGATTTTGCTTTCTAAGTTTGCTGATGACGTAGTTCTTTGTGCTTATTAACTTATACTACATCCGTTCTTGAGTATTTGTCCAGTTTTGATTTTTTTAGTCAACCGTTTTCAATCTTTGACATATAATTAAATAAAGTATATAATGTATTTTAATTAGATAAATAGATATTTTGAAAATATTTCATATAATAAATCTAATAAAACTATTTCTGTATCAATATCTAATATCATTTTTATTTAATTTCAAATCAAAATTTACCAGTTTTGACCCAAAAAAATAAAAAATGAACAAATACTAAAAACAGAAGTAAGTTGTATGTAAGTAAAAAGCTTGCTTTTTATTTTCTCAATTTGATGAAATCATTTAAATTGGTCCCTAACTTTTTATGCAAATACCTACATTACGTATTTAGTTAAAAATTGACAAACAACTTATAGTTAAAAACTTCTTATCAAAAAATACTAGCCCTTATACATATTTATCAATTAGAGTAAATTTTCAAAATGGTACTCAATACATATGTATTTTCCTAAATTAGTCCCTAAAATTAACTAATTACCGATATGGTATTCATTTGAGAATAATGCTTAGTTCAGTTCCCTCTGACTAACGGCTGTTAAAACGGCATTAAAGCTTATACTTATGGGTTAAGGAGCAAAATAAGAGTAAAACATTGATTAAAATTCAAAATGACAGTGAAAACATAAAACCCCCCAAATAAGAGTTGTTGACACAATCCCCATTTTGACGCTATCACTTCGTTCACCAATTTCAGACACTAACGGCAATAATCACCTCGAGCTGAGGGCTGTTACAACAATTGATACTTGAACATAAAAAATTATTAGAAACAACATGATAGATAGTTGAATATTATTCATATAAGAACGGTAATAACCTTCTACCAAGTAATATCATATTCCAAGTCCACAAAAATCTCACTTCAACTTCAAGAACCAAATCACGCCCAAAACTAATTAGCTGCGGGCTGTCCACCTGGAGCCGCCACCACCGCCACATGAAAATCGAGTAATCATCTCAAGTCACCGACACAACCGTCACACTTTGCACTGTCGGCATCGATCGCAATGCCACATTAATTGTCTACACTTCACCTGGAATATATTCTTCTTATACTTTTCAGCATGGCAAGAAGTTTCCCAAAACTGCATAGTGTAGATATTGGAGGTCAATACCTGCCACATTTGCATTAAAGGATTACGTCATATTTTCATACAAAGAAGGCATGGTTGTACCAACACACAATACCTCTTCATAACCTTGCATTCGGCACTCACTACATATGTAAACTCTAGCACCATAAGGAAGGAAAAAGGAACTTCCAAAGTTAAATGCAAAGGAAAAAACTTAATAACATGATTACCCTTGGAAATCTTGACTGTCCAGTTCAAAGGCAAACAACACATTTTCAAACCTTGAATGTTTTAAGAAGTATAGCTGAGTAAGAAGAAGATTCTTTAAGTTGAGCTTGTACCTCAACTAAATGGAATGAGGACATGTAATAGGAAAAAAAACTTGAGTAATGAAAGCTAAATTGATTAAAACATACATTCATTTCAACATAAGAGGCTTTTTTATATTTATTATTTTGGTCAAAAAATGGAGTTTAAAGGTTGTAACAACTCCACAGCCAATAAAAATTAAACGCCAAAAAGTACAAAGGATTTTTTAAAGTTTTAATACTCTGTAGAAATGGGCATCCAGTAAGATTTGGAAATTGCAATACACAAAAAAATCTTGAAATCCATCTATAAATATAATTTAAAAAAAGCAGAACCTTAATACACACCCTCAATCGCCATCATCACTGGTTTAGTAAAAATGGCTTAGATCTGGTTTTATAATTTTATTTAAGAACATTAATAAATTGAGTATTTAATTCAGTTAATTGGGGAAGGGATCTCCTTAAAAGGAAGGATTTAATTGTTATGTTTCCTGCGTTTCTCAATACATAATTCATGGCCGTTTGGGCAGGAAATATGCATCGGCGTTTGGGCGGGAAAAAATTGGACAAGATTTCCCCTGCTTTTAAGTAGAGTATAGATATAGATATAGATTTCTATGCATTGAAGCATAGTCATGAGAAGGAAAATCTGGCAATAGTTCCCATGCTTTTAAATAAAGTATTGATATTGAGATGAATAATAATATTACCATTATGGTTCACAAAATATTACTATTTATATGTTATTTATTTATGTTAGGGAATAAGGAATATTATTTTGAGTATTACATTTTCTCTTTTTCATTTTATGTATATAAATATACTGCATTTATATATTACCATAAAATGCACACTTACCATAAATAAGCCAATGTCAATAGGCGAGAAAATGGGGTCAATATTTCCGCTGCTTTTAAATAAAGTATTAATGAATTTTAGTTGTGTATGGTAAAAGAAATTATACACTAACACTAAACTCTTGTTTTTGCCTTCTAAGTTTTTTGTAATCCTTTGTACTTGTAAAATAACTTTTAAGTTGCATATAAGTAAAAAAAACAAGTTTCTCTATTTTAACCAAATAATTTACAAATACACACACACACACACACATATACATATATATATATATATATATGGGAACGTCTAAAATGACACCAGTTATTTATACACCAGTTGCTTACACCAGTTTGTTTGGGGTACCTACGATGCTCCGTTTGTAAAAATGACGGTTCTTACCCCCCTAACCC